CCTGTAGAACCATCAAAGCCGCCTACTGCTACAATACTTCCGTCTAACACAGCAACACCGAGAGTACTACGGCGAGCTTCCATAGCTGGTCCAGTAAGCCACAAATCCCTAAAAATGGCACAATATTGTAAATTCAAAAAAGAAAGCAAGTATGAAAATTAACGGCTGACAAAACGCCTTTACCTGCGAGGGTCGTAAATTTCAACAGATCTTATACGAGCGGAGCCATTAAAGCCTCCAATTGCGTAGACTAGATCACCAGCCATAACAACACCGCATCGACATCGGCGTTGTTGCAAAGGAGCAACTGAAGTTCAACCACTATCGATTTAACAAAACTAACCGTACTGAAACTCACGTGAACTCCATCGTTGCGAGTCTGGATCAAACGTATCTACGCTCGCGATAGCCTTCGGAGCTTGTCCCCCAACTACCATTATTAGCTGCAACATTTTCTCGTAAGATGATAACAAAAAACAGATTTTGAATGGAATCTCTCGCCAACTACTTAGCTAATGGGTATAGAGTTAGATTCTCATTGAAACCTGGTCTTATTCTAGCTTACCTGTGAAAGAGGTACAGGCTGCCTCGGCCTAATCCAGCTTGCAACTAGACCTGGGGTTATTTCCTTCTTTAGAATGTGATGATAAACCGAGCAAAGCATTGCTATACATGCAGGTGACTCTTGTATCTAAAAGATAGTATTTCGAAGAGGAAATCATAGAAAAGCTGCCCAGTACCAAAGGTTCCTGATAAGCTCGATCAAGAAGGAACTCCTGTGAGATGAGTGGTAGACGAACAGCAGCCAAGACGCTAAATTGTAAAAATATAGCATAAGCATAGTAGTTTTACAGGGAAAAATGATCACTTAGGCAAAGATGGCTTCCTTGATAAATCGTATTTGACCCAGTTAATCACAGCTTCGAAAACCGCTTCTTCACCCTAATCAACGAGATACAACTATGTTATGTTATATGAGAAACCTTCAATCGAAGGAAGAAATTCATTAATCGAAAACTCCACCTCCGTTGTCAAACGATCATCAGAGATGAGTTGTATAAAACTT